CCCCGCTCTTTTATTGCCCCTCTCGCCTCTTTGAATCTTGTGCTTCTACTTCGGAATAAAACCCTATCACAAACCTTCGCATCAATGGCTGCTAGTCACCAGCTTCCCAGCCGCTCGATGATGGGCAGTAATCTTTCCGCAATCTCCGCCAGAAGGCCTGCCGATCCCATAAATGAAATTCTGCTGGCGGTCTGCAACTTGGATAATCGTTTAACTGGCATTGTTTCCGCGGTCAATGAGCAGTTTACTACGATGAATGACAGCTTCAACTCCCAGCTTACTACGATGCATAACGGCTTCAACTCCCAGCTTACTACCCAGCTTACTACGATGCATAACAGCTTCAACTCCCGCTTTGATGCCACCGATACCATAGTCAACAACCGTTTTAACACCGTCGATAACGCGTTTCAAGTCATAGGTGGCCGTTTTAACACTATCGATAACGCGTTTCAGGCCATAGATCGTCATGTTCGTGCCACAGAGACTTCTTTTACTGGCATGAATCGGTCTTTCCGTTCTATTGGTGATCATTTTATTCTAGTCGGCAATCGCATAGATCAAGTGGAACGTCAACTCCATCGTATGAACCGCAACTTTACAAACCAAGAAAACCTCATCAATAACATTACCATTCGCCAGGACACTAGGTATGTAGAATACTAATAGAGACATTAAGCTCCGGGGTTGAAAAACAGCTGTGCATACAAAACTAGCAGATCAACTAGAAACTTGGCACTCGAAAAACGCTTTTTCAACTCCGGGACTGAATGCCTCTATTGCTCCTTTTGTTTTGTTATTGGAAAATTAGTCTAACTTGTCTACAGTGAATTCAATTTTGCAGCACGTTTAGAAAATCGTTGTGCTAGTAGCCCTTGGTCCCCACTACGCCCTCTCAAAACTCCGCGCAACGAACTAGTTCCTGGCTTCCCCCCTACCAGGGCGGCTATCGATGCTCTAGATGGTTAGCTACAAGCACTCCCTGCCTGCTGGCATCAAATTTACTAACTATTGATAGAATACGAGATCAGTTCGTTGTTGGTCGACTATAATTTGCCAACAACGGGCGATCTGGCTTTGGATAAGCTCCGTTTCGCCCATTTCATTGGGATTACTCTCCCGCCGATGGCCTAACTCCCGCCTTTTCATTAGTCGCCTATAGCTACTTTTGATTTCTTTTTTTTTCATTACCGTATTTCCTCACCTTTCCTTTTTTTCATTTCTTTTCATTCCGGGAGAAAAACAGCCTTGGATGGGATGGACCGAGGCAGGCAGGCAGGAACGCAAATATTTGAGGCGTTTTTCCTATAATATTATCATGTTATGTTCTAACAGGTTGGAATCAAGGTGGGGTTTTCGGTCTGGCTTTTTTCTCTTCAGTAGCCGATAGCTACTTTTTTTTTTATTCACCGATGGGAATGTGCTCTCTTTTTTTTTTTTTTTGCTTTTTTCTTCAGTAGCCGATAGCTACTTTTTTTTTTTTTTTTATTGACGGTGATAGTTGGGCTCTCAGTTTGGGGTGGTCAGGATTGGCTGTTGTCGCTTTTTTTTTCTTCGTGTAATTTTAGTGAATAAAATCCCTATCGAAGGCGAGTCCTAAACCCCTTTGCAACAAAAGAACGACTAGTCTTCTTGGATCACATAGCCACGCCGTTTAGAACTTATATTGGTTCACAAATCTCCTCAAAATCGGGCACGCTCTCTCACCTTTTTTTTTGAATTGTTAGGCATAAACAAATTCACATCTGGATAACAAGAAACGAAACGTCTAGCATTCCAACGAGAACAGTTGAAACGTCCATCATATGCTTGTATTAACAGAACTAGTTTATCTCTATCCTGAGAATGGCGAATAAAATTCAGAGAAAAAAAAGAGGAAAAAACCCCACAAGCCCACAATCCGTAAACATAAGAAAAAAAACCCCCGAAACCCCCACTTTCCATCATTATTATAACCGTCAGACAAAGGGAAAAAGTAGGAAAAAACGGCCAATCTAAGAAAAACTCGAGTCAGCTCCCCTAGACCCATTACTCGTCCTCATCAGAGAAGACCTCCTCGCCCACCATATTCCGTATCTGCGCCGTCGGAATTGACATGCTTCTGTCAGAATAGTATTTCTACGACACAGCGATTGCCTCCTACAGCCGCCCATGAAAGAGCCATCCAACTATTAGTATCCGTAGCGTTAATATCCCATTCTTTTATCGCCAATAAGGCGACAAGTGCCTCCGCAATCCTGAGAAATGCCGCTCCATGGAGCCCTGTGAAGCCCCCAAGGGAACTCCCCCTATAAAGGTCCAGCTCCCTCCCAGGCACATTCTTATGGCAATTCAGCATGAGCAACTGCGAGGATATATGCTCTTCGAATCCAACTAGAAGACTGAGCACAAGCGGAGTTAGGCCCTCCGTCTTCTCCGTCTTATGTGCTCCCCCCAATAACAAGAGGCATATCTGAGAAGTGGGAATGAAAACAGGGCTGAAATATCAGTCGGCGAAAGTTGCCATACACATTGAAAATTGAGGTACGTTAGGCAAGCCTCCGCTATCATCGAGTGTGGGCTTTGGAACAGAGTTGGACTATTGGATAGATACTCTCTCAAAGTGAAGTGAACAAGCCGGACGGTAGAGGAAGATTCCGTGATAAGACCCAAAGAACATCCCAAGATAGTTCCAATTCCAGGAATATTTTCAAGATCCAGATCAGCAGAACCGATCTTTACTCCTAAGGCATGGCATAGCTCGCTGGTGTGTAATGGGCGTTCCGAATTCGACACCCACATTAAGGCCTCCATCCCAAGTCTAGATCTATCATCATCCTGTGCCATCATGCGAGCTAGGGTTGTCGCGTACGCATCCCCTAGATCATTGCCTTTCGTCATCTCCTCCAACTTTCGTCTTTTGTCAGATACAGTGACCTCTCTCAAGATAGCGTCGATGGTTAATGAAACGAGGAGGAGTCTACAAACGATGATAAGTTAACATATGATCATGCATGGGATGGGGGCTGTGGATGCTCTTACGCACATTTCCGAGATCCGCTCTGGAATAACTCAGGATGTCCTCCCGCAGACCTTTGGACATCGCCTTAGGCTCGGGGTCTATTTCGAACTTCTCTAGATATATTTTTACATCATGTATCCTCGGGCTGATGGGTACTGAAACAGGATTGGTGAAACGTCTTGTAATTTCGGCCTCAGCCTGAGGTCTCCTAGTGACAAATATTCGCGTCCTTGGTGACTTCTCAAGAACATACTCAAGAAGCTCCAGCAGACGCTTGGAAAGGGACTCGTCTAAAGCACCGATGCAGATGGAAACTCGGAGTAATGTGACGACCGCCTACTTCAGCATCTCCACCATATCCGGAAGTTGTGGACCTCGACCACCGACCTCAGTTCTCGCCTCTTGAAACGCCGCTTGCACGTGTTCCAGCACATGGTGTCTAACCACAAGCTGCTTAAGGATGGCTCCTATGATGGTGGCTGTCAAATCTTGCCGGTGGCGGAAGTCGCAGTAGAACACTGCGACAGCAATGTCTTCCTCGCGGGATTCATTACACAACCTATCAATTACTAATGAATTAATATTTCTGGCCGTCAGCGATAATTCCTATTTCTTCCAATGAATGAGGCGCTTACCTTAGATGTGTCTTCCCCATCCCCAGATTCCCGTAGCAAAATAAAACTGCCTTTTCCGCTCCACCTTCATTACTCCTCCACTCCCGAAGCTCCTTTGTTCCCAAGAACCGTTCCCCTACGCTATCCCGCCTGTCAGCGCGCACATCATGATGCCTTCTTCTGGGATCTTGTGGTGAGAGCCATCGCATAATTTCTGGGTTTTTTATCGGCTATGATCTCATGAATATTATTCGTTACAGTGTAGTTGAAACTACCGGTGTTGTTCGAGTACGCATGTGCGGTGTGATCCATAGCCAATTGCCCAAAGTGTTGGTCGAGGGCAGGTATGCTCTGGCGATAACTGCTGTGGCGATATGGGAGGTTTGGGAAAGATTGCAGCAGCCTAGCTGAGCTAGGGAAGAGTCGAGAGTGCGATGCTGCGCCTAGTGCTTTTCAGAAAAAAGCTGTCCAATGACCTCCTGCTGAGTAAACACCCCACATAGACCCAAGTGAACCTGTGAGATAGGGCCCCACCAGTGAAAACGGACAGCACTCAGAAGCAGGACTTACCAAGCGAGGAGCGGAGAGAGGCGAGAACCCAATCAGTTCAGGCCAAGGTAGACCAAACAATAGGATACCAAGTGAGAAAAGGGGGAACCATTCCCAGCGTTGAAAAAAAAATGAAAAATGAAGTACCCCCCAGAAAGAAAAGTAGTGGGAAACAGGAAATCAATACGAAAACGTGGGGGGGGAAATGGATAGGAGAACAGTGAAGGCTTGCCATTATGCGAGACCGTGCAAAAAGGAGGTTTGGGTAGAGTTGGAGTGGTATAGGTTAAAGGGGTGAAAGTTACATGTAGCAGCTGTCAACAACAGCGCGGGATTACGGTACGGGCAGATGGGGCTTGTATTCGAGTAGGTTGCGCGGGGACAATTTAGAGTGCCAGAGTGGCACAACAAGGGGATTTCGCGATAAGGTTGTCACCACAGTAACAGATCATAGGTTATGGCTCATGTCCCATCTGAGCAGCTGCTACTCCGGTACGCATGTGGGTGATCGGACAGACCGGGTTAGAAAATGTATGTATCAGACGCAAAGGAAGTTTTTTTGCCCATAGACGGCCACCCGGGCCATCTTGACACCCACTCCAGCTCGGACGAATGTGAAAAGTAGATTTTGCATTAAGAAACGAGCGATAGTTAGAACAACAGCTGCAGTTCGTCTAAGTAAACTACTCGAAAATCCAATAAAGTCTTGCCCACCCCCACATCTCCATGGCAAAAAAAGACTAGGATGTCGAACTAACTTAAGTTACCCCACTCACGGCGTGGTGGCTAGGTTCCTCGGTTCCAGCAGTCGTTCCCCTACATTAACAAAAAAGAAGTCCTTTCACCCAGAGTTGAACTGGGGACCAACCGGTTAACCGGATATTGCAGCCGGGTGAAATACCAACTACACCACGAAACTAGATTATCATTTTTAATATGCTTCCGATTTTAGCAACTTTTAATGGCGCACTAACCGCTTAAGAAGGAACGCGGATTGGCGGGTGTACCTGGAGGTATATGTCATATCATTGGCTGTTTTTCTTTCGTGACTAGGCGAGGATTTACGAGTTTTCATTTCCAAAGTTCGGTAAAGTTTGGTTCGTGGGGGTGGGCGAAATTTCTATACCGTGGGAAGATCGAGTTTATAGCTTGTAGATTTCACCCTGTCATATTTAATCTTCTCTGTACATTCTCACATGTCTTTTCTTTCTTAAATAGTTTTTTCTTCACTTTCGTCCTTCCCTCCCGCCCGAACAATAGATATAATACATAGTATTTTTTAAATACATAAATGTGGTGCACCATAGAACAGGGATTCTTGAGGCGATTATCAAAACTGTATATAAACCGTACTTATAGTTCGAGACTAGTTACCAAAAATGATATAGTGTAATGAATAGTGTGAGAAAGTATTTAGCCGATCCTACCGAGTGATAGTCCATGGACGGGTGATAGTTTATGAACGGGATCGCTTGTGGCCCTAGCGCCCTGAATTAATACCCAAGTGTTGCAAATTGTATCTCAGAAAATGATAGTTTTATTGTTCCGAGACAAGTTGAGAAGAAAAGAAAAGACTGTGTCAAACTACATGGAAGGGCCGGCACCGGGCAGTCATCGGACTGCAGAAAGGTATAAGCAGCACCCGGTGTTGGACTAATATGCGTTCACCCCCTTGCTGGGTGGTGGGTTGTGCATGCCGTATCCAGCTCCTGTTGGTATAGATCTCACCGACTACTAGCAAAGGTAATATGACGTTATATTGACTTGGGGATAGGTAGTCTAGAAAGTGGGATAGGAGGGAGAGAACAGAGAGTGCACCAAGGCCAATAGAGAGAGGTGTGAAGTGGCTTGTATTAGGTAGTGTTATGATGTGGTTGGTTGGCTTGCTAAGTTAAGTACATGAGTAGAAGCCTTATATAGGAAAGGCCTTGGTGCCAAGCCTCCCCTATTGTGGCCTTGTAGCCCTTACATATTTTAGCAGTCCACATGCCACAACAGCCTTATAGGGTACCCTGCACCACACCGGTACATGTCTTAGGCATGTGAGCCATAACACTAAGGAATGTCAGCACTCTTTGCAACTAGTTATTGTAGGGACATCTATTGGGAGATGATTAGCTTCAGTATACTCATCCGGAGGAGCATAGATGATAGCGAGCTTATTCTGTATAGTATAAGCGCTGCATAGTACCACTCATATTTGCTGAGTTGCCTGGGCAGCTATAAAATACATGACTATAGATAAAATATGTAGCTGATATACGTCTTCTAAAGTCAGCCTTTAGCCCCTTCATCAGCATTTTTGTTGTAAGAGTTTTTTCTTATTTCACCTTTAACCAACACCCAATTGGACCATTTTTCTCTCTCACCATACTGGCACATGGACAAAATTCAAGTAAACAATACATTATATGTATGTGTCAATATCCCCAGTACTGACAATGACAGTTTGTCTTAGAAATTGAGAATTCCACATAAGTTAGTACTTACTTGTACCAAACACAATATTTAGCCAGATGGGTAAAGCACAATAGATTCTGTCAACCTTTTGCATTGGGGAATTCTTGTATATGTTTGAGGCAGTAGAGAAATTGATATATAAATATCTTGAAGATCACCATCCAGTAGACAATTTCAGAGATTGAGAAAATATCATTCACCTCTAACCACTAGAGAATCAGGTATAAGGAGTGGACACTACTAATCTCCCACTTATCCTTGTCTATCCTGATCCACATTTTCAGCAAAATCAGGAAAGATATGGATCAGAGCTGATCAGGAAATACTATGAGAATTCAGAACTACTGTGGACCACCTCCAACATTTTCCTGATGTGGTACTACTAACTACAAGTCTTTAACATTTCTAAGCAAGTAACTAAAACTAAAACATTTTAAGTTTGTTCTATTACTAAGTCATCAGGAAAATGTAAAAACACGTCCTGGTCTACCAGGGGGGGTTACGGTCCCCCTGGGGCTCCCTGGTGCGCGCTGGTGCGCGCTGGTGCACGGTCACGCACCTCGGTTATGCGGAGTGGACCGGGGTGGTTCAGTGCGGACCAGGGAGGACCATGGGGACCAAAACCCCGCCTGGTGGTTCAGGAGCGTTCAGGACCACCCTGGACCGCGCAAAAACATTTTCCTGATGCAACTTGTACATGATTTTTCTAGCCAAAAGGGATATTTTGGAGTTTGATTTTTATTAGTATCTCCCATTAGTTAGCCTGGCTATTAAACTCTTTTTCATTAATATTGAACTTGAGGGTCTTCTTATATAGCACTTTTACTATAATATCAGTTAGAGAGAATATTCTCATCTCTTACTCACTAATGTTTCCAGATTTTTGTTAGTTCTTTCACTTTTCTTGGTAAGCTAGATGATCTTGACCATAATGATTCTTCTCTTATTTTGCAATTGATTGATAATGCCTTTCAGCACCCACTATTTGCCTTTTACATCCTGGTTTCTTCAAAGATAATCTATTAATATTACTAAGTGGTATTAGTACTTATATCTTGTCGGTTGGAGAGTTTTAAGTAAGTACTTGAATTTTGATAGTAGGTCCTAGGTATGTTATATTTATGGTTTCCCTTCCTTCTTTCTATGTGGCTCGATGTCATAAACTTAATTGTTGGGACAGGAGTAAGAATTGGAGAGAGGGCCAAATCTTTTACAATTTTGGAAGAGATTCAGTAAGATGTTACGGGGTAACTAACTCAAGGAATAGAGAGAGCTAGGCCGTACAGTATTCGAGATAATGGAGGGAAGTCAGGAAGGCTCGAGTAATGATAGTTCAATAAAGGTAAAGTAATAAAGTAGAAGTTATTGAATTTTAAACTTAATAACTTGTTATATTATTAAGGTTTCTTCTCCGTTGCTTGATTTTCTCAAACTCCAGGGAATAGCCCTGACTACTTATACTAAATTCTCACTACTTCCTGTTTCCTAACAATCATGTTTCTTTCTAAGATTTCAGCTTCGTCAAAGGAAGTGCGAACACTATTTGACCATGAATAATTACCCCGACTTGAACTCAGAGAACTCCTGATATCTATTTCATCTGAGGGTGTCTCCACTTCACCAGCAGATAGTCTTTGATCTCTTCGTCCTAATAGACTAAGTTCATATATGCGATCGCAATGCCAATATACCAATAGTCGATTATCGTGAACTATCGAGTAATCAGTTTGAATAGCCAGATAATAACATATAATGCATAATATGCATATGCACCAGATATGAAATAAAGTATTCTCACTTTATCTTTCCAATCAGTAATCAGCTTCATGGAATGTGAGCTCCTCTGGTATCCCGAGTAGTCAACATAGATGCCTCTAGTTACTCCTACCACTGTGAGTAAAGATTGAACATATGCTCCTCCAATACAGTAGCGCAGTCTCTACTAATGATAATGGCGAGCTATTCTCGTGTGCATAACACTAGCTCCCTCTTCAAAAGGTTTTGTCCCCAAAATTGTTCTTAACATACAATACATAAGTAGAGATAAACATTAGGTATTAAATCCTTTTAGTACTCTATAAGGTAGGGGGAAAAACATTCCGCGTTTGCTTGGCCACGGTAGGAAAACCTTTCCGAGTAATACGACTTAGCCCAATGATGGCATTTCCGGGTTCTCTCTATGAAACATATCTACTAATTTCTTCGCATTTCCCAAATGCTTAAGTGGTTCCCTGGTGTTCTCATCTTCTGAACCTCCGTTCTACTTAACGAAATATCATATTTCGTTGAATGTTTGGGGTCTTCCTCTAACCCGCCTTTCGTAAGAGATTATTTCTCTCTTAACAATTTTCTCTACCTCCAATTCAAGATCTCTATCAATCTCTTCAGATTGCATAGGCGGTTGCTCTCGAGCTGGTGGAACTGAAGTTTTGTAGGGTGCGAGCAATGATAGATGAAATCCAGATGGATTTTCCAACAGTCTGATAGTTCCATTTTATAGGTGAGATTTCCTCGTTGTTCTAAGATTTTAAAAGGGCTATAGAGCTTCGGGGCTAGCTTCTTCGAAGAGCATTTTGTGCAAATATTGTTGGCGTTGAGCATAACCAGGTCTCCTATTTTGAAGTCTGGTTGTTGCTTAGCCTTTTGATCATGATATCATCCCATGGCTTCCTTGGTCTTTTCGAGGGATTCTTTTGCTTGTTGATATATCGTTTGCATTCAGTGAGTATACATATTGGATCCTGGATTGTGGGCTTCTCGTTCTTTTAACCATTCAGTCTGAGGATGATAACCGTAGTTTGCAAAGAAGGGGGTCATTTTGTGTGCGGTCGTGGTCGAGTTGTTGTAAGCAAACTTGGTTAGGGGTAAAAGGTGGTACCAATCATCCTGATCATGGTTGAGAAGTATTCGGAGGTAGCCACTTAGTATTTGGTAGACTAATTCTGTTTGTCCGTCTGTTTGAGGATGGTACATTGTCCACATCTTTCGTTTAATGTTGAGTTTTGTGCATAATGATTCCCAAAATTCGCCGGCAAACTTCGCATCTATATCTGAGAGGATTTTTCATGATAGTCAGTGGTGTTTGCATACTTCTTTAAGGAATGCTTCTAGCACATCTCCTGCAGATGCTTTTTCTTCTAATCCGATAAAATATGACATTTTTGTCAACTGGTCTACTACGACCATAATCTGTATATATCCTGCCGAACTTGGTAGTTGAGTACTAAAGTATACTGAAGTCGAAGCCCAAGCTGGGAAGGGTACTTGTAAGGGTTGAAGTAAACCGCATTGTACATGTCTTAGAGACTTAGCTTGTTGGCAAGTAGTGCAGGATTGTACATAGTCATTAACCCAGTTGGCAAGTCCTTTCCAGTAGAAGTCCTGAGTAATAATTTCGACTGTCTTATCTTGTCAGAAGTGTCCTACTACTTGCGAGTCGTGACATTCTTTGGCGATGAG